CACATCAGGGTTGGGGGGCAGAGCTGCGTTTTAGGGGTGCTACAGCCTCTCTGCCGGCCTTGCCCAGCCCCAGGCTGCGGGTGGGGGCTGCGGTGGGTGTCTGATGCAGGGCCGTGTGTGCCGGGGAGGGGGCAAAGGTGGGTGTGCGGTGTGTGCACAGGAGGGTGACCGTGACAGAGGGTGACCTCTGCTCTCTGCCCGGGCCCAGCTCCGGCAGCCAGCGAGGGCTGGGGGTGGGGGCACAGCAGAGCATCATCCCCTCTGTCCCCAGCACCCTCCCCGTCCCTACCACACCTCACAGTGCTTGCCAGGGTTCATGGGAGAGCCCAGGGGGCAGCTGAAATGTTCGACAAAGTCCCGGGAGTTGCTGAGGGTGCCGAGGACACGGTACTTGTCGGGGCTGTGAGGGTCGGTCACCAGCCCTTCGTGGGAACTCTCTGGCGTTCGAACAGAGCACCACACCTGACGGACAAGGAGCAGCGTCAGGGATAGGGACAGAACACCCCCCGAGGTAGGCTCCGAGGAGCCAGGGAGGGATGGGAAGCCCATCATCCCGCTCTGCCCTACCTGCGCGAAGCCCACGAAGAAGAGCTGGTGGTTGGTGAGCCCCAGGGCTGGCAGGTGCTTCTCCTCCCCATTCTTCTGCAGCCAGGACTTGTATGCCTATGGGAGAGCTCACCTGAAGCCTCAGGGAGGGACAGACAGGCACAGGGCTCCTTGTCCCCCCCAGACAGTGGCACTCACGTTGTAGGCTGCCTTGAGCCCACCATTGTCGGCGATGTTCTCGCCCAGTGTCTGACGGCCGTTGACCTTCTCGCTGTGGACAGTGTAGCGGCCGTACTGCTCCGTCATGCACGCTGTGCGGTTCTTGAAGGCCTCGAGGGAGGAGTTCTGCCACCATGGCCGCAGGTTGCCCTCCTTGTCATACTCCCTTCCTGTGGGACCGAGCCATGGGGTGGAGTGGGACAGGGGACACTGTCCCCCTGCAGCTTCCCTGCTACAGGGGTCCCAAAGCAGAGTGGGGTGCAGTGGG